GGTAGCCAGGCACCATCTAGTTGTACTGGACTCAGTCTGGTGGAGGCCATGGTAGTTGTGGTCCATCAGTCCTTTGGACTAATCTTCCCCTTGTATCTTGTTTTCTTCATTCTCCCTTGCTCCTGAAGGGGTGAGACCAGTGGACTATCTTAGATGGCTGCTCACAGGCTTTTAAGACCCCAGACGCTATTCACCAAGGTAGAGCACTCTCCTGTATTCTGGCCCCCAGGTGGTATAGGCCAGTAGAGTGGAGGGTTAGAATTAAGATGCTTCCCCAAAGGACCCAGTTACCTACTTGTATTGCCACCCCCCCCCCCCAGGTCCTATCACCTGTGGAATCCTGTCTCCAAAGAAGACTTAAATCCAAAGCAGACGGCACGTGTCCTGTTGGACTCTTCTGAGGACCTGACTCCCGACACCTGAGTTGTGGGGCTGTTCCAGGCTCCCCCGCCTGCGCTCTGTTTTCCATCTGTTACCTCAGGCCAGTCTGGATGGTGGCTCTCATCCCGCTAGTATGCTTAAGCCATGTTTCCTCTGAGGCCCTTCGGCCCAGGCCAGATGCCAGTCACTAACCCTGGCTGACCTGCTCACATTTGGTACGTGTCTTGGCCCTAGTGCACCCTGGGATGGAGGATCTGTGTGTGCTTACCCATCTTGGCGGAGTGTCATGGCCAGTGGAGTGACAGCCATTGGGTACCACTTGTGACTTTGAGGATTTCCAAGTGTCTGCTTCTGGCCAAGAGGGATCACATGGGGAGAAGCCTTGGGGTCATCTAGTTTTGGCCCAATTCCTTCAGACTCTGGTCTCAGCCTTTAGCTTCACCAGCCTTGCTCATCTCCCTCTTCAGAACTAACGACTCCTCCATCTTGGCTTTTTGCCTCCCTTCTGTACTTTCTATCCTGTCCTGGTGACATGGCCCCTTGAGTCCTGGTCCCACCTGGCCACCCTGTCATACTGGTACAACCTGCTATTTGAAGGCCAATCTTCTTCTGTGTCCAACTCCTCCTTCTGCAAGGTACCCACATGAGAAAGCTTGTCTAACACCTACCCTTTTCTGCCTTTACTTGGCGACCCTGTGGCAGCTCTTCTTTGGGTCTGGTTGGGTAGAACAGCTGTGCAACCCCTGTGGACTCTTACAGGATAAACAAATTTAGGTTATTCTCCTCCATGGATCACAACTCCCCAATCATCACTGGTTCTCTCCTCCTTGTTTCCCTCTCTGCTTTCCAAGTCCCTTTCTCTTCTTTTCTTTCTCTTCTCTTTTTCTCTTTTTTCATCCTCCCCCCGAGCTTTGGGCCTCTCGTGGCCCTTCCTGGCATTGCTTTGCCTGACAGCAATACTCAGGAATAAAAAAGCGCCTGAGCTGTTTGTGTTGACTAATGGCATGTTTGTTTTGGATCCAGGTTTGTTTTGGAGACAGGTGGGCTGTCTGCCTCATCATTCCAGAGAGAGTGGACAATAGGATCCATCCTGCAGAGCTCACTGGAGGCAGAGGAAAGAAGCTGGCTCTGTCATTTTTCCAACACCCTCTCAAATCCGTGGGTGACGGCCTGGATACCTTGCCTTTAACAGAAAAGGAAAGACGCGCAGAAAGCTTAGGAGACTTGCCCCAGGTGGTGAATTAAATCAGCGCGCAGGTGGAGATGAACACAGAGCCCTCAGACGGGAAGTTGTCCAGATAGGGAGCAGGACCACGGAAAAGCAGCCTCAACCAGAGAGGCCACCCAGTCAGTGGACCCTTGGCTGCTACTGGAAAGTAGTAGGAGACTTCCCTGTTATTTCTTTATCCTGTGAAGGAGCTACACGGTGAATTCCTTGTTAGGATTAGTCATTTTCTCTGTTGCCCGTGACTGAGGCTGTTTCTCACGTCCTGTCTCCGGTTTCGCTTGTCCCAAGGATTTCATTTGAAGGGCGGGACATTTCCCTCACTGCCTCCCACCCCCAACCAGAGCCTGCAACAGGGACCAATGAAAGCAAAGTACCTCATCCACCCACTGACTAAGAACTCAGAGTATTTAAGAAGTTGCAGGAATAGGCTGATAATTGCTTTTGCTTTGCTCTCAGACGGGTGCACTCTCATCTGACTTGGGACATCCCTGTGCTGAAGACGGAGCGAAGGGGAAAAACCCTCCCGTCTCCTCTACCATCATGTGCTACAGCAGATGCGCACGCTGCATCGGACAGTTTCTGCTGGCGCTCGCTGTCCTCTGCATTGTAGCGAATATTTTGCTTTACTTTCCTAACGGGGAAACAAAGTATGCTTCTGAAGACCACCTCAGCCGCTTCGTGTGGTTCTTTTCCGGGATCGGAGGAGGAGGGTTGCTGGTAAGTCACTAAGAATTACTATAACTTTAAAAAGTTCTCTCCTCTTAGCTAGATGTTTTCACTATGCGTTTGCATGGAAAGTCTTCTGTAATTCAGAGTTCCAAATCCAGTGATTTTGGTTTCGTCCTTCTTTTGAAAGCAGATTATACAAAAGTTGAGACAGATATATTGTATGAATTGTACTGCATGTTGTTTTACAAAGTCTTCTTTCAACTAAAAGTCAGCTACTTTTTTGCTACACTCTCTTAGTTTACAGCTAGGAAACAGATATTAGCTTTTAAATCAGATTTGAGAGATTATAGAGTTTCTAGTACTGGACTGGGTATGCTTTTTTTGGGTTTTTTGTTTTGTTTTGCTCTGGGGAGCAGGGAGAAGTCGGCTGGTTCTCTGTCTAGCTCAACAGAATTTTCAGTCCAAATTGTCTGCTGTTTATTCTTAGGCATTTGTGATAGAAAAAACAAACAAACAGCGAGTGCACTGCTATTTAGAAAGAACGGTGCGATTTTTCCCTTTATATAATCCTGGGCTGTGGTGTCTAGGAAAAACCCTACGGTTAGCAGCAGACCAGTGTCTGAAGCTAATGGTGGAATGTGCTGTGTTTTCCAAGGTTGGTTTTTAATTGAATTGAGAGCATTTTGTCAGCCAACCTGTGAGCTAAAAGTATTAGCTTCAACCACAGCATGGAAAGAATGTGGCTGGACTGGAGTTGGCTATTTTAAAATGCCTGGATTGAGACATTTTAAAGGGAATTTTTATGGAATTGCCAATACCATGCAGGATTTTTTTTTTCCTTAGTCTAGTAAAGAATTTTACAACATTTAAGCCTAATACACAACTTATGACGTGGCAAACCTGCTTTGAATTGAAGCATTGTCATCACATTAATCTAATCATCTGTCCTGAAATAACGTCACACTTGTTTCAGTGTCTTTTGAGCTCAATCTCAAAGTATTTCATACTTACGTTACTTTAAAGGGCTGTATTGTGAAGCTAATACCGGGCAACTGTATCTTAAAAGAAGCCGTTCGCATTTATTGTGCAAAGCGTTCATCTCTCGCCTGTTTACAAAAAAAGTTTCAGTTATTGTAATAGGGATGTGTTGGTATCTTCTATGTTTTACCAAAAAATCAGGTTTGAAGAGACAGGGTTTAATATTTCCAGAACAGAATTTGCAACTGGGAATATGTTATGGACTCTTACAGAGTAAACAAATTCAGATTATTATTTGACCCCTCCCATTCGCCACCCTCACCCTAAAGAATGCTTTGAAAACAAGCGGATATTGCCTTGAGAGTTTTTTTTCCTCTCAGGGTTTTACATCCTTTGAGATACTTCGTTAATGTAACCCAGTGCTCGTCAACACTGTAGAAAGAAATACATTTATCAAAAGACGCTTAACCTGGCCCGTATGGACTTGGGGGATGACTTCAATCTGCTTGTTTCCTGGCCAGATGTTCCTGCCAGCATCTGTCTTCATCAGCCTGGAGGAGGAAGACTGCTGTGGTTGCTGCGGCCACCACAATTGCGGCAAGAGATGCGTGGTAGGTCCCCTGGCCCCGACGGTGAACGTGGCTCCCCTGACGCGGCCGTGACGGTGTGGGATCATTGCCTGTGTTTCTGCCTTCCCTAGATGCTTTCCTCTGTACTGGCTGCCCTCATCGGAATTGCAGGATCTGGCTACTGCGTCATTGTGGCAGCCCTGGGCTTAGCGGAAGGACCAGTGTGCAAAAATCTCTTTGGCGAGTGGAACTACACCTTTGCCAGCACAGAGGGAGAGTACGTAATTATTCCCTACCACATGTGTACAGCGGTAACCCCATGGGACCAAAAAAAGGCATCCAGCCATGGCTCAACCAGTGTTTACCAGGACTGACTCATGCCAGGCACGGTGTAGGTAGTGAGTAACTGTAGATGGACCCCAGCCTGGAGCAGCTCAGGCCAAGGGCAGCTCTAAGTAGTTTAATGGAGTCACTGATCAACCCACATAGTAACCTACCAGGTGACTTCCACTATGATTCCTGTCTTACAGATGAGGAAATGGAGGCACAGAGAGAGGAAGTAATTTATCCAAGGTCACGTTGCTAGAAGCGGCAGTCAGGATTTGAACGCAGGCAATCGGGCTGTTGAGTGTGGGCTCATAACCCCTACACTGTGCCTGAACAATTGGCTCATTAAAACTCAGATATTTTACTATTTCATAAGAAAATACTTGGAAAGGCTGACATAATACGGATGGTAACTATATGAAGTTAACTAAACCTCCAGGGAAAATCAGACTCCTACACACACTCACATTCAACATACTATGCACAACACAGCCCTGATTTGAAATGATCAGGCTATGTAAGAGAGGTCTTATTTATTCATGACTCCGAAATCAGGGTAATCTTAAAGAGATTCCACTGTTTTTATTTCTCATCAGTTACTGAGAAAAGAACAGAACTAGGAAGGCTGATAGAAACTGGTGTATGCGGTGATACATGAATAACATCCTTCATTGGACAGGAATTGATTTGGGGTTTACCTTTTCCTTATTTGGCTTTTTTAAATCAGATGTCGAAAGTTTTAGTTTTGAGATTCATAGATGAAGATCGATCATATGAATGTAAATAGCCCTTATGTTCTCAAGAGGTTTGGTCACCCATGAATTGTAGAGCATGGAGTGGGGTCTTAAGATCATGAACTTTGAAAGTAGAGAGACCTGGGTTCAAGTCCCAGTTCTGCCCTTACTCTCTGGATAACCAGGAGAAAATGAACTGACCTCTCTGCATCTCAGTTACTTCATTTGTCAAATAAGACGAATGGCAGGTGCCATGAGGATTAATGAGAAAATGTATGTAAAATGCTCACTACAGAGGCTGACACATGGTTCAAGCTGTGAATAGGATCTACTAACTTACAACAAATACAAGCCGACGGTAGTCCCTGAAGGGAAAATAGGCACTTAGAGGAGTCTGAAAGTTTGGTGTTCAAAATTGTTACCCATCCGGATTCATCCTTGTTTAGAACATACTAAATGTACTAGTAGAAAATGGTTATTCATGTTTGCAAAAGCATACAAAATTACCGTGCAAACCCACATCTAAAAAAAGTCTGATTAATGCATCTGGAATCCGGGGAGAGGTTTCTTTTATCATTGTTTGATTGTATGCCCCTCCCGTGAGCCATTCCAGCTTCTGCAAGAAAACTTCGCCTTCTGTGTCATTCCTCATTTTAACCTGTCCAGGGATTTCATTATAAGGAATGACAAAACAGTCATAAGCCACTGATAAGCTACTCAATAGCCAAATGCAGTCAAAGACTTTTTTTTTTGACATTGTAACCTGAAAATACAGTTCTTTTGTTTCACCAACATGCAGAAAGACAGAGCCAAAAGACAGATTTTTTTTTTCAATCCACAAATCGAATTTCTGATTGGCTCAATGAGCCGTTCCAAAGTTAGTTCTCAAATTCCAAACCCCTTTGTTCTGCTGTGGTAGGAAGAAGCGATAAGGAAAGAAGTATATCAGTACTCTTTGTGGAATTAAGTCAACCCTTGATTTTCCCACATGATTGAACCCTATTTTGGTAAGAATCCAAATATTCTATGATGTAGCAAAGGCTGAAATTCTAGGAGAGTCATCAGAGAGAGGATTTTTCAGACTTTTCAGAAGAGTATCTGGCTATCTAGACAGTCTTCTAAGTTATATAGGTATATAAGATTTTTCTAAGATTTAGCCAAGTGATTTCAGATTGTTGTTTATCATTTAATCACTTTTGAGTACCTACTGTGTGCCAGATACTCAGATGCTTTCTAGCTGCTGGATAAACAATGATGAATAGACCTGGTTCCTACCTTCATGGAGTTTAAACTTAAGGAATCAAGAGATACATAAGCAGATACTTTCCCTGGCTTAGGTGAGGTGCCCTTCTTCTGCGGTCCCCTTTCACACTATGCTTACCCTACCAGAGTACCTGTACCACTGAGATAGCCTATTACTTGTCTCTTCCGGTAGATGCTAAGCTCTTCCGGAATAGAACTTGTGCACTGTTCACCATTCTATCCCCAGCCCTAGTTCAATGTCAATGTCCAAGTCACAGTGAGTACTCAATAGCCTTTACTGAATGAGTGAACACAACACTCTACTATGGATGCGTGGGCACAGTATTGTGAAAATAAAGGAAGAAGAGGTATCAAATTAGACAGTTGGACTTCGTCTCTGTGTTTCCTTTTGCAGATTAATTCATTCCTTAAAAGAAAAAAAGGTCTCAATGGAAAAGCTCTTGCACATTAAATCTCTAAGCCTGCCAGAATTTGGATAATTTTCAAATGGAATTAATTGAGGTTTAATAAAATGATCTGAATTCGTATTTTCAAGGTCATAAAAATTAATACAATGGGGTTATGTTTTCTAAATAAATACTCACTGAACTTTGGTTACAAAGTTCTATCTGTCACACAGATAACAAACATTTAAGCAACAATAAAATTGGGGCCAAAACCAACCTGTTGCCGTTGAGTCAATTCTGACTCATAATGACCCTATAGGACAGAGTAGAACTGCCCCATAGAGTTTCCAGGGAGTGGCTGGTGGATTCAAACTGCCGACCTTTTGGTTGGAGAGGGGTAAAAAAAAAAAATTACCGACAGTTCCACTACCTTAACACACCGATTATTTTCATTTTTCCAGATCTGTTCTTAGTTCACATCTACATACATACATGAATTTTACTTTGCTTGAAACGTAGCATAAATACAATTTTGCATTTTTTGTTTAACAGTAACTCATATGTATCTCTTAGGGAATATGAATGCCATTATAAGAAGAGGATTTCTAACCACAGAAGCCTTGACTAAGAGTCAAAAGTTACATTTTAATTTTATGTGTCTCACTGTGACAAGATCTGGGTTAAAATTCCCCATCTTGTAGAAAGATTCACATTGGAAAAATCTGATAGAGGCTATTGAAATAATTCATTTCTGTTTTTCTGTACAAATAAATACTGCACAAAAAGTAGCTTCTGAGACATCCCACTGGCTGTGGTCACGTGTCAGAAGTTCTCCTTTTATCCACAGGTACCTTCTCGATAGCTCCACATGGTCCCAGTGCGTTGAACCCAAGCACATTGTGAAATGGAACGTAACTCTGTTTTCTATCCTCTTGGCTCTTGGTGGTATTGAGTTCATCCTGTGTCTCATTCAAATAATAAATGGAGTGCTTGGAGGCATATGTGGCTATTGCGGCTCTCGCCAGCAGGTAAGAACTCTGGTATACCCAGTTACCATAATGTACCATTGCTTTCATGAGAGAAGAAAAAAAGGCAGAACCGAACACTGCTTGTCTTAGTTATCTAGTGCTGCTATAACAGAAATACCATAAATGGCTGGTTTTAAAAAACAAATTTATTTTCTCACAGTTTAAGAGGCTAAAAGTCCAAATTCAGGGTGCTGGCTCTAGGGGAAGGTTTTGTCTCTTTGTCGGCTCTGGAGGAAGGTCCTTGATTCTTTGAGCTTCTGCTCCTGGACGATCTTCATGTGGTATGGCATGTGTCTTCCCCCATCTCTGCTTGGCTTGCTTGTTTAACTTCTTTTATATCTCGAAAGAGATTGGCTCAAGATACACCCTATGCTAATCCTGCCTCATTAACATAACAAGGACAACCCATTCCCAAATGGGATTATAACCACAGGCATAGAGATTAGGATTTACAACACAAATTTTTTTGGTGGGCACAATTCAATCCATAACATTCTACTCTTTGGCCCCACAAAATTCATGTTCTTGCCCCATGCGAAACACATTCACCCCATCACATCATCCGAAGTCTTAAATCAACTCCAAGTCCAAAATCTCACCTTCGGAATTGTCTAAATGAAATATGGGTGAGACTTTGGAGCCCTGGTGGTGTAGTGGTTAAGAACTTGGCTACTAACCAAAAGGTCGGCAGTTCGAATCCATCAGCCGCTACTTGGAAACCCTATGGGTCAGTTCTACTCTGTCCCATAGGGTTGCTATGAGTTGCAATTGACTTGATGGAAATGGGGCAATGGTTTTAGGCATCTTTCATCCTGGGACAAAACTTCTCTTCATCTGTGAACCTGTGAAATCTAGACTACAAGTTATCTGTTTCCAAAGTATAATGGTAAATAGGCACAAGGTAGACACTTCCATTACAGATGGGAGAAATTGGAGGGAAAGAATGGATAACAGACACTAAGCAAGTCCAAAACCTAGCAGAACAATTTACATTAGCTCTCAAGGCTTGAAAATAATCCTCAGTTCTCTGAGACCATCTAGGCAATGGCCCTGCCCTCCAGACTCTGGGTGTTGGCCACAATCTCTGGATTCTGGGTGAAAGTCCCACAGCACTGGGATGGCAGCTCTGCTCCCTTGGCCTTGGGCGGCGTTCTCCTAGTCCATCTGAGTGAGAGTCCCACCCCCTTTGCCCTAGCAGGCCCCTGTCTTCTGTGCCTTGGGTATGGCAGCTCTGCTCTTTCAGCTTTGGGCAGCATCCCCATCCTCTTCGCCGAACTGAATGACAGCGGCATACTCTGGAACTGAGTTGGTGAAGATCTGACTCTTTGAAACCTGGGAGGCTTTGGCTGTACCCTTTGACACTTCAGATGTGGTGGTCTCACCCTTTGAGACCAAGGCAGCTGTGCTTCCTGTGCTCCTTCCAACAGTTCTGCTGATCTCTGAGCTGCTACAGGGATGGTCCTTTTCTTTTCTTGAAGGAGAACAGATATAGCTACTTTGGCCTGTTTCCTCCCTGTAGAATTCCAAGAGGCAAACAGCATTCTCTCCTTCCGTTCTTTCTCTGTCCCCTTCATCTAAGCTGATGGTTTTTCTGCTGTGGTAGTTGGTTAGATCCATCAGTCACAGGCTTAATCTCTTTAACAAAAGGTTGTGTAGCCACATCTTTGGTGAACATTCTAGGACATTTGTCCTTAATTTGTACAATAGAATTTTCCAGATCTTTAAGTTTTGTTTTCATTTTGCACAGTTCATTTTTAAGTCCATCTCTTTTCTCTCACATTTTACCGTAAGTGGCAAGGAGAAACCATGCAGCCCCTTTAATACCTTGCTTAGAAATCTCAGCTAAATATCCAAGTTCATCACTTACAGGTTCTGTCTTCCACCAAATGTATAAACAGAACTCAGATGAGTTCTTTGCCACTGAATAAAAAGCATCGCCCTTCTTCCATTGCCAATCACATGTTCCTCATTTTCTTTTAAAGCCTCACCAGAAGAACATTTAACATCCACATTTCTATCAACATTCTATTGCTGGCACCATACGTGTTGTCTAAGACAATAGAGAATCTCTGTATGGCTCTCCTCACTTCCTTCTAAGCTCCCACCAGAATTGCCTTTGACATCCGTAATTCTACCAATGGTCTCTTCAAGGCCATCTAGGTTTTTACTATTAGGCATCTTAAAACTCTTCCAGCCTCTACCGATTACCCAATTCCAAAATCACTTCCACATTTTAGATAACTGTTAGAGCATCAACCCCACACCCAGTACCAAGTTCTGTCTTAGTTATGTAGTGCTGCTATAACAGAAATACCGCAAGTGGATGGTTTTAACAAACTCATTTGTTTTCTCACAGTTTAGGAGGCTATAAGTCCAAATTCGGGGTGCTGGCTCTAGGGGAAGGTTTTGTCTCTCTGTCAGCTCTGGAGGAAAGTCCTTGTCTCTTTGAGATTCTGTTCCTGGGTGATCTTTATATGGTGTGGCATCTGTCTTCCCCTATCTCTGCTTTTATAACTCAAAAGAGATTGATTCAAGATACACCCTACTCTAATCCTGCCTCATTAACGTAACAAAGAAAACCCATTCTCCACCAGGCATAGAGGTTAAGATTTACAACACAAATTTTTGGGGGACACAATTCAATCCATAACACTAGTTAACCTACTAGCATTTATTCTTACATAATCTTCTTGGAAAAGCATCTATAACATTCCATTTTACTCTCAATAATAAGTTTCCTTGAGTCTCACAGGCACTGAGTTATCTTAGTTCTTCATGGTTGCCTCTCTGTCACAGGAACTTGTCACTCATAGACACAGTGCCCTCTTTAGGATCTAATCCACTACCCATTTCATTATGCCTGCTCTGGCTGTGGAGACACAAAAGTATCCTTTCTTTGCTTGCTGTCATGCTTCTAACTACAGGTATGCCTCTCTTAACGTCCATGATACATTCTGTGAAATAGGACGTTATGTGATTTGCACGTTGTGTGAACACCATATTCTATACAGGAGAGAGACATGTAAATTGGTCACCGGGCAGGCCTGGAACCCACACTACCGCCACTGCACCAAGGGCCTTCGGAAAACTTTGGCTCCACTGTTGCCAGTCCTGCATGGTTGCCACCAGTCTCTGGTAGCCATGTCCAGCCCCCCGCCATGGTGCGAACTCACTGTCCAGCCGGCTGCCTCCAGGCACACCACTGGCTCCCTTCCCTTCCTTCCTCCCTGCCTGCCCTCCCCGTGCCCTGCAATGGGCTTTAAACTCTTTCAGCCCCACCTGCACCTCCTCCGCCTCCTCCTCTGCCTCTGCCTCCTCCCCTGGCTGCCCTTCCTGCTCCTCCTCCCACCATTGCCACAGCCCAGACCACTTGGCAGCCCCATGCCCTCGAGGGGCATCCCTCTCAGCAGCTCCAGTGGCTCCTGCATGGTCCCTGCCTGAGGCGAGCACAGTAGGACAGGCAGCTGTGGAAGGGTGCAGGGTCCTCCTCCCCCTGCTGCCACAGGGCCAGGCTGATGTGGGACCAGAGAGCTAGTGAGAGACAGATAGGATCTACAGTACTTAGCAAAGTACCTCCACTACATCCCATTCTCCAATTGGAATTTCTGAACTCAGTTATAACTTTATGGGACCACGGACGTATATGCGGTCGGACGTTGCCCGAATGGCTGTTATGTGGTGCATACCTGTAGAATATACAAATAATAGCCAACATTCATTACACCAGGCAACGCTCTAAAACCTTTCAGCGAGTTAGCCCTTTAAGTTTCACCACAACTCTAAAAAGCAAATATTATTCTCATTGAACCTGTTTTCCAGATTTTATTATGGCTCAAAGAGATTAAGCAATACATCTAAGATCACCTAGTTGGGAAGGCTTCAACCCCTGGGCCATTTGATGCCAACCCTGCTCTTAAACTGTATGTGACACTTGGTTTCATTGGACTTTCTACAGTTCCTTCCTAATAAGGAACCACAGAAATGCTTAAACAGCTAAGCAAGGAGAATCACTAGTAGCCTTTGAATAACAGCTCATGAAAAGCCTTTCACTGTGAAAGAAAACCAGGAAGCACTTGTTTCCTGGGGTTAGGATTGAGGAGCAAGGAATGCATTTGTTAGTGGAAGGGAATGTTCTCATTTCTATATCCTCCTAAAAAACAGATATTATCGAATTGATGGAAGTCCAGCTTTGGTCTAAATTTTTGGTGGTTCTCTGTCTGATTCTGTGCAATAAGATTAGGTAGACAGAAGCTTATTTAATTCACATTTTTCCGAGCATTTATTCCCTTGGCTTAAGGTCTCGTCTGTTTCTTTTAAAAGAAGACGAAACGGAATGAAAACTAAACGCCTTTTGCCACCATGAAAAATTTTACTGTAAATAAATGGAAGCTTTCTATGATTTTGGAGGGGAAGGGAAAAGAAAAATTCAGTTTTCCTTATGAGGCAAGTACAGCAAGATTAATAATTTCTTTGGAACTCTGCCAAATTTCCAGGAAAACAACACAGTGGGAAACCTTCACTATGGAGTTTTTCCAGGGACTGTGTTTGGAAGGGGGTCCCTGGATGGTGCAAATGGTTAACTTGCTCGGCTGCTAACCAAAAGATTAGAGGTTGGAGTCCATCCACAGGAGTGTAGGAAGAAAGGTCTGGTAATCTGGTTCTAAAAAAATCAGCCATTGAAAGCCCAGTGGAGCCCAGCTCTACTCTGACACACATAGTCAGAACTGACTCCATGGCATCTGGTTTGTTTTTTTGGGGTTTCGGGGAGGAGCAGAGAAGAATCCTTTCATAATTACTCTAATGTAACCTATTTATCTAGCTTTGAATTTCATACAAGGCAGAATTTTAACTAGGTGAGGCCACACTGGACTTCAGCACTAGTGCATTTTGGGGACAGACATAAAATGTCAATGACCAAAATTGCTGAAGTGATTTGGCAGGGAGTGACGCTCGCCTCTGAGTGGGGAGCAAATGGTCCCTCTGGTTTCCATCTGAGACTGTAGGGTTGGCTTCTTCCCAGACACTGCGGTGCAGATCAGTTACCTTTGTTTATAAGACAAAAGACACCTTCAAAGGGCAGAGACTTTAGTGTAGAAGAGCCGAGTTCATAACTTGGTAGCATTAAATTTGAAAAGTTACCCACCTGAACCCACTCTCGCAAAACTCCCATAGCATTATCTTTTAAATGCCTAGGATTACAAACCCATCGCAAACACACTTCAAAGCCTGCCCAGCATGGGTAGCGGCAGTTTCCATGGGCCCTTTTCTGTAGCTTTTATTCCGGCAGGACAGCAGGTCTGGTTTGTTTAGGAAACATTTCGTAAGCCTTGCCTAAGCCCCACGTTTTATTGATCAAAATTCTGCTGAAGGCGCTTTGTGTTTGCTTAACGCAGGAATTTAAAGGCCTGAAATGTCCTCTTTGTTGTTTATCCTGATGGTAACTTAATGAGTATTTATTTCCATTCTTTTTACAGCAATATGACTGCTAAAAGAACCACCTCAAGACAGAGCCACAACCTTCTTTATTTCTTTGTAATTTATGTATTTTACTTGTATTGATTTGTAAAACTGTGTATTAGTGTATCATACTCTGCATATTCTACTTTTGTAAACGCGTATGAAGACTGGCACCTTCACGCTACGTCAGCGTTTGAACTTAGCAAACAAACATTTATTTTTTTTAAGGAGTGAAAAAGGCTAACTATACTCTGGAGGTAGTCGATACCAGTCTGAGTGAGGGTTCTTAGCAACTCTGAGATAAGCTCTGGCCTGAAGTCATGTTTTTGAGAAAATTTCCAAGGATAAAGATCACATTCCGATTACCAGTGTATATATGTGCGTGTGTTTTTGAAATGAAAGCTTTCTAGTTGCTTTTTTTTAAGACCAAGAATTTTTTTTTTGGAAAAGATGTTCTTTCACTGTTTATATGGTGCATCCCGTTTGTATGTCTGCAAATCTGTTATGAAGAGGCCTTTTGAACTACTGTGTGTTCTGTGAGAGAAAATTCTTGCAGAGTGGAGGGACTGGTCACTGAAAAAGCTCCAGGCCAAATGAACGAGTCAGAACACGCAGTGCTGCTAGGTGTTGTAAGTACCACCAGATCCTAAATTTTTTCCTAACACATGGAAAGCTTTTTGTTCTTTAAAGACGAGTGCTGAGGATCACATATATAAAAAGAGAAAGGCTTGGATAATTGCACAGTGAGAAGGAAGATGGGAAACGGAATAAAACAGTTGATTAGCATCATGGGAAATATGGGTGGGGAAAGGGGTAGCGATGGGAGGCGGGGGACAAATCATGGAAGAAATATCCTGAACATCTTGTTTGTTTAAATACAAAATAAAATAAAATAATTAAAGCATTCACTGTAATTTTTTCTTTAGTTACATTGTCTTTAAAATTCCTCCTTTTTCTATTTTATTTTTTTTTATTCTTCAGGTTGTCCTGCCCCTATTGCTAGAATTAGGATTAAGATTCCACCCATGTCTTCTGATTTCTTTATCCCATAACTTGCCCTCCCTCATCCTCTCCCCCGTCTTCTCCTTCCTTCTGCTGCCCATGAATTGTCACTGTGGTCCCAGCCCTTGGATTTGTCACCCTGGTGGATATCTTTCCTTACCCCCAAGAACTCCAGACACCGGGCTCCTGGGGAAGGTAATACACTTTCTCTCGAGAAAGTTACATCTGTGGTACAAATAGGCTGTTTCAAGTGACAGGATTCCCTGAGCTGTTGGGAATTATCTACAAAAAGTGTCTGCTTTTGGTATTCATTGGCCCAGGCAAGACGCAAGCAAATTAATAAAGAGGCCCTTGCAAACGATTACCCTGCTCAACTGCTAACTGACAGGTGGTTCAAGTCTACCAAGGAGCGCCTAGGAAGAAAAGCCTGGTGATCTACTTCCAAAAAATCAGCCATTGAAAACCCTGTGGAGCACAGTTTTACTCTGATGCCCCTGAGGTCGCCATGAGTTGGAGTCAATTCCACAGGCAACAACTGGGCTGCTACCATGTGCAAGGTGCTTAGCATGGTTTCCTGACTAAAGAGTTCTAACCTTTTTAGTTCAATGGTTGCATTGGCAGACCACTGAAGCCTATGATGGCACCTTCTCAGAATAATGCTTACAAATGCATAAAATAAAGTACATAGGTTTACAATATTAACCAATATATGGAAATACTTTGTCAAAATATATTTTTAAATTATAGCATATTTGTCTTGACAGTCCCATCACACTGACATGCGTAGAGAGGAAGACAGCGACCCTGTGAGATCTAGCAGTGGGTCTAAGAACCAGTGTGCTTTTGAAATACTATTTCAATTGAAATATTTTAAGATACATGCAAGAACTTTAATATGACCTGAAAATATACACTGTTTTTGTAAGCGGTAACTTTGGTGAAGGGTAAGACAGTACACAATTCTGGGGAAGTCAACACAACTTGACCAAAGCAAGGCCATGGAAACTTCATAAACACATCCAAACTCCCTGAGGGACCGAATTACTGGGCTGAGGGCTGGGGACCATGGTCTCGGGGACATCCAGCTCAACTGGCATAACATAGTTTATAAAGAAAAAGTTCTACATCCTACTTTGTGAGTAACATCTGGGGTCTTAAAAGCTTGTGAGCTACTATCAAAGATACTCCAGTGGTCCCACCCCATCTGGAGCAAGGGAGAATGAAGAAAACCAAAAACACAAGGGAAGATTAGTCCAAAGGACTAATGGACTACAACTACCACAGCCTCCACCAGACTGAGTCCAGCACAACTAGATGGTGCCCGGCTACCACCACTGACTTGCTCTGACAGGGAACACAACAGAGGGTCCCAGACAGAGCTGGAGGAAAATGTAGAACAAAATTCTAACTCTAAAAAAAACCAGACTAACTGGTCTGACAGAGACTGGAAAAACCCCTAGAATATGACCCCTGGGCACCCTTTTAACTCAGTACTGAAGTCACTCCTGAGGTTCACCCTTCATCCGAAGACTAGACAGGCCCATAAAACAAAACAAGACTAAATGGGCACAGCAGCTCAGGGACAGGGATGAGAAGGCAAGAGGGGACAGGAAAGCTGGCAACAGGGAACCAAAGGTCCAGAGGGAGAGAGTGTTGACATGTCACAGGGTTGGCAACCAATGTCACAAAACAATATGTGTATTGTTTAATGATAAACTAATTTGCTCTGTAAACCTTCATCCAAAACACAATTAAAAAAAGAAAATGAAATAAAAGAATGCGGACCGTGAAGAATGCAACCCGTGTCACTGATCATTATGTCTAGAAACTGTGGAATGGGAGCAGGTTTTGCTGTGTCTATTTTCACCAAAAATTAAATTTAAAAAAATATGAAAAAAGAAAATATATGCTGTTTTTTTAAATTATTGATCAAGGTCACAGTTATTGTTGATACCACTGTGTTTTGTTGTGTACAATTGTATTTAAAGGAAATATTACTCTGAATTTGGACTTCTAGCCTCCTAGACGGAGAGAATACATTTTTCATTGTTAAAGCCATTCACTCGCGGTGTTTCTATTACAGCAGCACTAGACAACTAAGACAGCTATCAACTTGGACAATGTTTTGTTGTGATCAATAAAGTTTTTTTTAATTTTCAGAAGTAGATCACCAGGCCTTTCTTCCTAGTCTGTCTTAGTCTGGAAGCTCTGCTGAAAACTGTCTGCTGTGGGTACCCCTGTTGGTATTTAAAATACCTGTGGCAAATCTTCCAGCATCATAGCAACACACAAGCCACCAAGGTATGACAAACCAACAGATGGGTGGTGGACAGTAAGAATAGCAACCATCTCTCCTGGAGGTCGGCAGTTCTAATCCACCCTCCACTCCTTAGAAACCCTATGGGACAGTTCTACTCTGGCTTATAGGGTTGCTATGAGTCGGAATCGACTCAACACAATGGGTTTTTATTTTGTTTTTTTTTTTAATTGAGTTCTTAGCATGCGCCAGTTACTGTAATTAGCTTGTAAACATATTATGTCACTGAATTCTCTTAATGATCCCAGGCAGTGGTGCTTTTCTCCATTTTATAGAATCAAAGCTCAAGAGGTTAATAATCTGCCCAAGGCCACATCTTTAGCAAATGAGATAACAGTGATTTGAATACAGGCCAGTCTAACATGAAGACTCATGCTTTGTTAGCCCCTCTCCCCACCTCCTTGCCTCCTCTGTGGCCCCTGCAGAGGTGCTGGAGTCTTCTCACTGACCAACACTGAAATTCAGCCAGCTAACGGGAGCTTTGGTCAGCCCCTGTGACCCTCGGTTATCTCCATTCCAGAGTCCAAATTTGAGTGACTCAAAATATCCCCTAGTTTGTAAATTCCTCAACAGTAAACATTACTATTGCCCAGAGGAAAGAGTACCTTCCATCTTTTTTAATTTGTTTATCGTGTACTCTCTGGGTCTATAACATTCTAGAAACCTCTCAATTTGGCTGGAAACTCCCGGTGGGATTATGAACCAAAACAGTTCATTATTAGCTGGCAACATAAAAACAATAAAAATAACTTTGGAGTCAGAATCACTTGACTAGCACACACAGCCTCAGGGTTAGAGATTTTCCTCTGCGTGTCAACTTACCATAGTTACCAACTTTCAAAAAACCACCTGCATGAAAGAAATCTCTTGAATTGAAATTTAAGGAAACTGATGGAATGTTACCTTCACTACAATTGGAGTTTCTTCTACATGTGTTAGATCTCTTTGATTAGGTTTTCCCTGACCCTTATCCACGGTGGGGCAGGGATGGGATTTGGTGCAGTTTTTCAGAAAAGCAATTTGTCCATGTCTATCGACAATCTGTAAGTCTGCACATCTTTTTTATCCCATTGGTTTTACTTCTAGAAATATGTCTTAAGAGATTCAACAAGAATATACACAATAGTTCAGCTTCTAGGGGTAATTATGGGAGTATTAGTTATAATACCAGGAAAATGACAAAAAACTAAGTATGTCCAACAGTAAGAAATTGGTTTAATAAAATGCAGCCAGTACAATAAAATCATAAAGAGCTATTAAATGAATATAAATGATATTGACCACACATTACATGAAAAAGAAAGTTTTTGAAATAGAGAAAAGCTAGGATACATTTTTTTTTAAACCAATTGTCATCCAGTCTACTCCAACTTATGATGGCCTCATATGTCAGAGTAGAACTGTGCTCCATAAAGTTTCAGTGGCTAATTTTTAATATATACACTAAAATGTAATTGTGATGCTATTCTAGGTAATTTTGTCCTGATTCATTTTGCTAATCTATACTTTCGGAAGTTTCTACAACAAGCACATATTGCTTTTGGAAAGAAAACAAAAATGAGCAAAGGAAGATTCAGTCGTAACTTCACTCAGGGAGTGGCCCACAGTCCCTGAAGGAAACTCCCCAAGTGTATGGAAACCACTGTTCTTCCATGTGTCAGAGGAGCCATCGACCTGATTACAGGAGAGTAATTGTGCGTGCAATCAGGTGGAGGTTGGGCAAGGTGAGGCAGGCAGTAACCACGGGCTAAAAATATTACGAGGATGCCATAATTCCCTCTCC